GACAAAAAGGAAGGCAAAACAGTTGTGGATTTCAGAGTAAATATTGGCTAAAACTCTGGCTCCACCTCGCACGCTTTTCTCATCTGCAATGTGCCTTTGGCGGAGCAGGAGGGTGAGGATATCCCATTGCCCGAACTGGTCGGATCTCGGCCGGACCGAGCTCCGGGGCGTTAGTGCGGAGTACCAGTGCGGGCTACCAGTTCCCCCCGGGTGTCGCGCTGAGGCTGGGGCTGCGATGGGACCCGCCCCTCCTCCCTCCCCCCCGCCCTTACCTAAACGCTCATTCCTACACCCGGCCGAAGGTGCGCCGGCAGAGCAGGGCTGGAGCAGCCGCTGCCCGCGGGATCCTGACGGCCCCGGGCGGGTGTGTGAGAGCCAGACCGAGTGGGCGGCAGCGGGGATGGCGTGTGCCCCGCCGCCACCGGCTTGTCACGCAACCTGTGCTTTCCGCGGCCGCGCAGGGCGGAGGGAGCGTTCACTGGGAAGGGCTCGGTGCAGAAATAAAGTTCCCTGTCTCCGGGTGGAGCAAGCCCCGAGCCTAGCCCGGCCAACGTGCTCCCCGCTCGGCCGGGGTCCCCGGGGCTGAGGGACCGTGCGTGACAAAAGAGTGGCAGGGCGTGGGGCCGGGGCGTCTCGGCGAGAAACACACCCCGGTTCCCGTCGGTTCTGCACTGTGCCGGTGCCAGAGCTGGCACACTGTTTTGGGCTTGGGTCAGAGGTCACCTTCAGAGGCATCGCCCAGGGCAGGGATTTGGGAGCATCCCCACTTCCCCACTCTTCTGCAGACACGGGACGGCCCCTCGGGGCCAGAACCAGAGTCTCAATCCCTCCATGGGCTCTGCTCGAAGCTGGCGGCAGCACCCAGTTCCCTGAGCAGACCCCCGGCTCTGCCCGCGGGGGGGCGGGTGGGGGTCGGAGGGGGCCGGCCGAGCTCCCGGGCTCCGTCCCTCCCGTACCCGCCTATAAAGAAGGGCGTGCGGTGCTGGAGCACCGGATCCCCCGGCGCGCCCCTGTGGCACCGGGCGCGGCAGTGGGCGAGGTCCTGGGCGGGGAGCGCGTCCCCCGGGACGCCTCCCCACGGGGCTCGCCATTGTCAGCGCTCCTCGCCCTCTGCCCGCCGCCCTGGGCCCCCGGCCCCGCCTGGGCGACCGCAAGACCCGTCCGGCCCCGCCACTTGCCCGTCCGAAGCAAGCCCGGCCACTGGCGGGGCCGGGAGCGCCTCCGTCCCTCTCCGCGGACCCCGCCGCCCCCCTCCGCAGACCACCGCACCCTGCATTGCTCGGACCGCCAGGCCAAGCTTTCGCCCTCTTTTGCATTCAGAGGGGCAGGCGCGTTTCCCAGCGTCCGGCGGAGGGTGCCGGACCCCCTCTCGATGGCTCCCGCGCTCTTGTCCCTCCGCCCGCCCCCGCCCGCAGAGGTGCTGTCAGGACCCTGCCCCACGTGGGCGAGGGGCAGCCGTGCAGCTGCCCCCTCGCACCGCAGGGTTCCAAGCTTTTCCTCCCCAGGGTGTCCGAACCTCCTCCCGCTGGGCCCCCCCCGACGACAGGGAGCTCTCGTCCAGCCCTTGCGGCAGGCGGTGGGGGCCAGCCAGCTGCCCGCACTGCCCAGGCACCCCCTACTCCCAGGCACTTACCCCTGCGACCTGTTGAAGGTTTCCCCTCATTTCTGAACTGGCAAAAATAAAAGTGGGGGTGGAGGGGAAGGGAAAAGAAAGAAAGAATGAAAGAAGAAAACAATACTCCCCCCCACTAAGAACCCACCACCTCTTTGGCGCTTCCATCGAGGCGGTCATCCTTCATTTCTTCTTTTCTTGCTTTCTGGAAGCAGTTAGGGAATGTATGATGATGCAGAAATGAGCCGTCAGGATGATATTTTAATGGCTTATATGTCACGTTGGTGCATGTGGCTTTGAACTGGAGCAGCTTTCGTTTCCTGCAGAGAGCGCACCGCAAATCCCACTTGATAACTTCTACAACCCACAACATTTTTTTTTTATATTCACTCTTACATTGTATATTTAGATACGCTTCCTAAAAATACCTTCTCGTCTGCCTTCTCGTGTATTTTGTACCGACCTGGAATGATCACTGGTTTCCTCCTGCACTGGGAGGCAGGCTAGCACTGAACTACCTAACTTTCTAGCTCTCCTAATGCCATCGCCCAGAAGAGTTCACAACAACACTGACAACTCTGTCCTTCACTTAATTTTAGCACCAAATACAGAAAGCAGTGCAACACCCGCCTTAAGACCATGTGCACACCCAGACTCTTCTAGAGCGGGTATACCTGTTGCTATAAGCCATTGCAATTCCATCAAATAGATTTGGTAGAATAAATGCAAACGTGTAGATTCAGCTCGGCATTATTCTAAATACTCCCCCACCAAACCTTGTAAAGCATCCCAAGATCCAATGAAAATTACATAATATATCTGCTTTGAAAGCTATCTCCATGCACCGAGCACAGACACACTGCATCTGCAGATAAACTGCAGCGAAACATTCCTTCAAGGCGTATCAAAGTTTATTTATTGTCGTTGTTTTTTGTTTGGGTTTTTTTTGTTGTTTTCTAGGCAATATGGCCATTTTATATCTCTCGAAACGAGGCAATTCTCATCCGAAAAGGGTTCGCGCAGCTGCACTGCTGGTCCGACTCCCCAGTACCTGCGCTGCGGATTGCTTACCAGCGGCTTTAATTGGAGAGGATGAGTTTAAAGTTTCTTTGTTTGGCACTAGGAATTGGAGGGGCTCGGATTGAGCTGCGAAGGAGGCAAGTGAAGAGCTGAACAAAGGCGAAATGTAAGGAGTCTGACTCTTAGCGAGCTTTTGGTGTTTTCGTTACTAGAAAATAATTAGAGCTAATGAATATGCAGGCGACTGAGTAAATAAATAATTTGCCAGTTTTATATATGTACGCGCATGAGCACATACATAAGTGTATCTATGCATACTCACACAAAGATGTCTATATTTTTAAGTTTCATGAGATTTTTTTTTTTAGTGCCGAAGCATCTTTTAAAATATTGTACAAATGTTGCTCAGCTTAATTGATTAAGCCACAAAGGCTTTCTGCTTTTAAATACCATACTTATACCTTTCAACAATCATTTTAATATATAGTCAATGGCTCTTTGTAGCGGGAACAAAAAAGAACTATCCACAGTTTTTCAATAGACTTTGAGCTGGGGAAAGACAGGTTAATCGAGGGTTGCATCTAGAAAACAACCAAGTGTTGTATGTTTGCACTGAATCCAAATGTCTGCATTTTTCTAACTAAATCAAAGGGAGTGTTATTTCTTTTTCTGCTCACTCATCTGAAGGTAAGTAAATTTTCTCTGGCGATCAAAAGCCTGGTCAGCAACAAAGACACCGCCTGCTTTTTCCACCGTCCTGGTGTGGCAAGTTGAGGAATTTCAATAACTGTGACAAGGGTGACTGATTTGTGAACTAGAAAAGGTTTGAATGTCAGAGAATTTACATTGCTCCTATCGAAGACTTTAAATTTTTTTAAAGAAAAAAAATAAAGAGGGAAGTATCCGGCAGTTTCATGCAGCAGAAGGAGAAATAACGTAGGTTTGTGAAATTTACAGTTTCACCTGAATAAAAGAGACTCCATAAAAGAGAGAGTGAGAGAAAATGAGAGTGAAAGAGAAAAGAGAAAGAAAATAACAAGAAAAGGAGGCAAAACGACCACGACAAAATTAGAAAGTTAAGAGTTCTCACCCACCTGCGTTTTGATGGGTGCAGAAAACAAGATTTATTTCAGAAACCTGATGGAGGGATAGAATCAGCTACACAGAGAAATCACGCCTGGTGTTTAAAAATAAAATATAGTGCACCCAGCACCTACTCTCGGAGAGCTTCAGTTTTAAACAAGAGGAAAACACCTTCAAAAGACACGAGTCCCTACAGGGCTTCTCTTTCCAAAGCCTAAAAAGTTGCTCAGTGATCTCAAAAATTCTGGATCACCAAGAAATCATCATAACCTTCATTATCAGAGTGCTGGAGAGAGAGAGAGAGAGAGAGAGGGGGACAGAGAGAGGGAGAGAGGGGGAGAAAATAACCCTAATAATATTAATAGAAAAAAATTTTTTTTGTCCCCTTAGCATACATACACACAAAAAGATGCGCTGGAAATATTTTCGGGGGGCGGGGGGACAAAAAAGAAAAAGGAAAAAAAAAAGGCAAAAAAGGCAAAAAAAAAATCTTATATATTAAAAAAAAAAAAAAAGAAAAGAAAAGAAAAAAAAGTTGTTTCTGCCGCAGCCCCGTTTGTCAGAGCGGTGTCAGGGCGCCACAATACCTGCGATGGATGAGCCGGCGCGGCCAATCAGCGCCGGGAGCCGGCGGGGCCGGGGGCTGCTACGCGGGGAAGGGGGAGCCAGCCCGGGCCAATGGTTGCCCACGTCCGCCCGCACGTCGCTCCGCCCCCGGCTCCCATTCATCAAGGGGGGGGACGGTGTCGTCTTTTCAATTCATTTATCTGCAGGAATGATTGCCGCTATCAGTCTCGCGTTCACCGCCCGGCTGAGGAGGTGAAAGTTTCTCCCCAGGAAGATAAACCGCAAAAGACAATATTGTGCATGATTTGCGCCTTTTTTTTTGCAGAGGGAGAAAAAAAAAAAAAAAAGGCCCCCCGAAAAAAAAAATCGGGTGAGTGTGGGGAAGCTCGAAGAGGAGAGAGAAACAATCTCTCGGCCACTTTGCAACATTCCTATAGCCAAAAAAATCACTGAAGGAAGTTTCTTTTTTGTTTTGGTTTTTTTTTCAAAAAATTTTTTTTTTTTTTTGCTGCCCGTGTTGAACTCTCGCCGTTATTGTTATTTGCAGCCAGTTTATTTTTGAGCTTACCCAACCCCCCCTTCCCCACTTAAACCTCCCCGAAAAGTCAAAGCAGAGAGACGGTGAATATTTTTGGGGCACATTTTTATTATTTTTATTTGCAACTGCGAAGATTTCTTCCCCCCTTCCGCACCAGCCTTTTTTTTTTTTTTTTCCCTTCTCCCCCCCTTTTTTTCCTTCCCCCTGCGCTGATGCCGAAGGGGGTGTTTTTGATGTGGTTGCTTTGGTGGTGATCGTCGCTGACTTTCCAAAGAGGGTGTTTTCGCCGCCGCTGCTGCTGCTGCTGCTTCTCTCCGCGTTGTGTGTGTGCGCGCGTGCTTTTTTTTTGGTTGCTGCATCGGCGCTGGGAAGATGCTTCTGGATGCTGGACCGCAGTATCCCGCCATAGGAGTCACTACCTTCGGATCCTCTCGCCACCACTCCACGGCCGATGTCACGGACAGAGAAGTGGGGCTGGGGATCAACCCCTTCGCCGACGGCATGGGCGCCTTCAAAATCAACCCCAGCACCCACGAGCTGGCCTCGGCCGGCCAGACCGCCTTCACCTCGCAGGCGCCCGGCTACGCGGCGGCGGCCCTGGGGCACCACCACCACCCGACCCATGTCAGCTCCTATTCCAGCGCCGCCTTCAACTCCACCCGGGACTTTCTGTTCCGCAACCGCGGCTTCGGGGAGGCGGCGGCCGCCAGCGCCCAGCACAGCCTGTTCGCCTCCGCTGCCGGCAGTTTCGCCGGACCCCACGGACACACCGATGCCGCGGGACATATACTTTTCCCGGGGCTGCACGAACAAGCCACCAGCCACGCTTCACCTAACGTGGTGAACGGGCAGATGCGCCTGGGCTTCTCCGGAGACATGTACGGCAGACCCGACCAGTACGGCCAGGTCACCAGCCCCCGCTCCGAGCACTATGCCTCGACCCAGCTGCACGGCTACGGCCACATGAACATGAACATGGCAGCCCACCACGGGGCAGGGGCCTTCTTTCGTTACATGAGGCAGCCCATCAAACAGGAACTCATCTGTAAGTGGATTGAGCCCGAACAATTGTCAAACCCCAAAAAGTCCTGCAACAAAACTTTCAGCACGATGCACGAGCTGGTGACTCATGTCACGGTGGAGCACGTTGGAGGACCCGAGCAGTCCAATCACATATGTTTCTGGGAAGAGTGTCCAAGAGAAGGGAAACCTTTCAAGGCCAAATATAAACTTGTAAATCACATCAGAGTCCACACAGGTGAAAAACCTTTCCCCTGCCCTTTCCCAGGCTGTGGCAAAGTGTTTGCCAGATCAGAGAATCTCAAAATACACAAAAGAACTCATACAGGTACGGTAACCTTCTCTGTCGCTTTTCTCTCTGCGAGTGGAAGCGCCGAGCGCCGGGGCCAGAGCGGGACGTGGGGCCGTGGCAGAGGGGTCGGGGGGCCCGGCTTGGCTGAGAATCGGACGGGCAGGAGGGGGTATGGTGCAGGGCCACTGCTTTTTCCGGTAGAGGCCGGCTAGGAGCTTCGCTGCAGAAGGAGCTCGGTCACAGCCACGCCAGCAGCAGCAACAAAAAGAAAATGATCCCCGCCGAGGCAGAGAGGGAGGACGGCAGGGTTTGCTGCTGGAATTGTTAGGGCGGAGGGGGTGGGGTGGGGGATCATAGTAACCTGTCCTGTTTAAATTTATAGGTTTTAATTAATTATTGTTCGGCAATTTTGGCTGTGGCACGATGAGAAATTGTGCTAAATATTGCAGGCAGCTCATCAGTCTCCTCTTTGCAATTCAGGGCTTGGTAAATATTTAATTCGGAGGAGCGATTTTAAATAAACCGAGCCCGGCGCGTTAGTGTGTTATTGTTGTGCAGAGGGGAGGCGCCGGTATCCCTGAGAACTTTTTCCTTCGTGGGAGGTGGGAATGCAGCAGCCTCTGTCCGGGAGAGCAATCTCCCCCCGCTCCCACCCCCGAGCTCCGAAAGCCAGAGCCGCTTTCTCCAGCCCTTTTGCCGAGGGTTTGTGGGGCTGCTCACTCGTTGTATTCCTGGGCCGGATAATTTTCAATATTGCAAGAAAATAGGGGGAAGGGACTGTGACGGGTGGAAGAGTAAAATATTGCGAGAATGAGCTATAAAACCGGAAAGCAGACACTGAGGATAGTGTGTATATACGCCTGCTCTCGCGCTCGGAGCGTTGTGATGAGAGAGAGGTGCCCGGGACTGGGGTTGTAAAGGAAACTCGCCCCTCCAAAGGGAAGGGGGAAAAAAAGTTATTTAGCTCTCCCGCTCTCCGAAAAGGGTGCTGAGCAGGAGTCGGAGGAGCAGAAAGGGCAGAGAGAGAAGCAAGATTTTGGGATCTGAGTCTCGTTGAAGTTAGGAAGTTGCAAGTGTTTGAAATGGAGCCCTGGGCTCCGTCCGGCGGTGCGGTGGGGACAATGAACGATCCAGCCGGCCCTGCTTAATCAGATCCCTTTCCCTCCCCCCTCCCCCCCTTCCCTCTGCAATAGGTGAAAAACCATTTAAGTGTGAGTTCGAGGGCTGTGACAGGCGCTTTGCAAACAGCAGCGACCGCAAAAAGCACATGCATGTGCACACTTCCGACAAGCCCTATCTCTGCAAAATGTGCGACAAGTCCTACACGCACCCCAGCTCCCTCCGAAAGCACATGAAGGTAAATGGAGGGCGGCTGGCGTGCGGGCCCGGCCGGGCGAAAGGCTGGGGGGACGGGCAGCAGCGCCGGGCCAGTGGCGCGGCGATGCCCGCGGGCGGAGCGCGGCCCGGGGCCGCCCGACTGCGGGGCCCCGGCCCCGGGCCCGCCGGGCCGCGCTGCCCCCGCCCCGCTGCGCTGAGCACCGGCCCCTCCGCGGGGCCCTCGGGTGGTGCGGTTTGCCCGGGGAGGGGCGGGGGGGCAGCACCAAGAGGCAACCGGGGAGCGCAGTCCGGCCTTCCCCCGCCGGCAGGGGCTGGGACCGGGGCCACCGGCGAGCCCCGCAGGAGTGCCCGAGCCTGGGACTCGGCGCTGGGTCCCGTTGTCTGGCCCATCCCCAGGCGAAGGCCTCCGTCCACCGCTGCTCTCTATCTCTGCCCGGGTTTTCTTTTGCAGGTCCATGAATCATCCTCGCAGGGGTCCCAGCCTTCTCCCGCCGCCAGCTCAGGCTACGAGTCCTCCACCCCACCAACCATCGTGTCTCCATCCACAGAAAACCAGACCGCCAGCTCCTTATCCCCTTCCTCCTCCGCAGTCCATCACACGTCCAGCCACAGCACGCTTACATCAAATTTTAACGAATGGTACGTCTAAAACGCTAAAACAAAACAACAACAACAACAACAAAACACAAACCGAAACAAAACAAAAAGCCCCAAGCGAGCAAACAAATACCCTATTTAAAAACTCCAAAAATAATGAACACTTTGAAATCAAAATTTAAATGAGCAAACAAAAGTAAAATGCTGCCAGTAGACCCAGGACTGAGTAAAATGAAGACTTCATTTTTTTAAATCTTTTTTATTCTTTTTTTCCTTCCCTTATTATCTCTCTTTTTTTTTCTCTCTCTCTTTTTTTTTTTTTTTTTTTTTTTTTTTTTTTTTTTTTTTTTTTTTCTTGACTGTTCTGCTCTGTTCCAAGGCTTGGTAGGCGAAGGGGTTAGTAGAATGCATAAGAAGACAAGGTTACCAGGGCAAATGCCAACTGTGTAGGGCTTTACTGGAAACCACTGATTAGAGATCGCCAAATGCATGTCTGCTCGGGCAGCGGCCTTCCCCCCCCATCCCCTCTTGTAAATACAGAATTATTAGCTTCAAAAACAAAACAACAAAAAAATGTACTGATTGATTTTGTAAATAGTTATATCGCAAGTTGAATAAGGGGATATGTGGATTTGTGGTCTTTGCATATATGTGGGGGGAGGGGCGGGCGGGCGGGAGCGGTGGTGGGGGGGCGGAGGTGGTGGGGGGGCAGAGGGAAGAGGTAGAAATTCAACTATTTGTACTGAATGGCAAGAATGTTCTAGTAAATGTGTACCAAAATGTGAATTACTTTGTATTATTACAGTCTAAACGTCGATCTAACAGAATATTATTGGTATTAATGTGCTTTTTTGTATAAAGTGCAACATTTCGTCCCAAAGTCCAGTCTAAGTAGTGCAGTAAAATGTTGTTACACGTCCTGTCAAGAAATTCGTATAGTGAAAGCCTGGATCTGCGTGTCAAACTGTTACATTTGTTTATGTAAAGTGATATTAAAAAAAAAAAAGATATAAACTATATCTGTCCGTTGCTTTTGGCAAATACAAGAACATAATGTATATAAATCCTAATTTCCATATTTATCCGCATGTAAAGGTCCGGTTATACCTGTTACAAGATATTCAATATTTATGGCTAGAAGAATTGGTATGTAAAATTTAGTTTACAGAACTGTTTGGTAACATTTCGTACCTTATTAAAGATTCTTAAATCCCAAGAATTGTGGTAGGAATTCTTATTCGCTAAGTCAACCTGCTGCAACTCCAACTAGCTTTAGGATATTAGAATAAAACTGTCCCAGTTTTTCACTGCTTTCCATTATGTCATCACTAAAGCAGCGAAGGTGATATAAATGTGATAAATGAAAGGATCCCTGCTGGCATTACTATAGTGTGTAATTAGTATTTATATCAAAATTTATGAAACAAATTTTCGGCCGCAGTATAATTTAAATGACCTTTGCAGACATAGAATAACAACCATAAAAATAACAGAAATAGATTGCATATGCTACATAAATATTAATGTGGGGAATTGTTACACGAGAAGTGCTGCATTCCACTCCAACACTGTCCATGAATCTGCATAGACTGGGTCCCTAAATTAAATTAATTCGGATAACATATATTAGGAGATTTAAAACAGAGGAGATTTCAGTTGCTATTTTAATTTAAGGCATTTATGACCATAACTAATTCTTAGGCAGTGGATTCATGACTTTCCTTGGGCCTTTTACTCCAAGAAGTACAGCACTGTTTCACGAAGGCGGTTGTTGTTGTTGTGTGTATTTTTTATTTGGGTTTTGTTTCTTTTTTTTCCTTCCCCCCTCTTTTTTTTTTCTTTGCTGATATTCCTTAAAACGTGATGTTAATTTAAATCAATTACTTCTTATGTTATGTTATTATTATTACTATAATTTTGCCAGTGTTAATAGCTTTCTAAAAAAATAAATCTAGGGCATAAGAATTATTTTATGTAATTTGATTATCTTTCTATCTCTTTTATTTATTTCTCATTTACTTAAGAAATTCGTTCCATTGGCTGGCGTTGATACAGTAAATTTGTAAATGAGAAGACAATATAAAAAATCTAAATTACTTGTGCTTAATGACTGTAGCAGAACGCCTTTTCTCTAAATCAGATTGTCTTCCTTGCAGTTTAGTTTGATAGATTTGCAAGCTGTACTGCTTCCACTAACTTAGCTACGGTTGTTGGAACTGTTGGGCTTTGTTCCTGGTTGTAGCTTGCATGATCGCCCCATTAAGCAGACAACATATCAACAGACAACACAAATCATGAGGTTGGCTAAAGCTGCTAGGGCTTGTGATATGTCATAGAGTGAATTGCACAAACTGACCTTCCAGTAGACCAAGATGACACTTTAACAGCTTCTTTAAAGAAATATTATGTGTACAGCGAGTCAATAGCCATATTAACCGCTCGGGGGGCGGGGGTACGGGGGAAGCCGCTTTCCCCTCACATCCGTGCGGACGCTCCGCAGCCCCGGCGGTAACCCGCCCAGAGCACAGCCCGCTATCTCTCAACAGCACCCCGCAAGTATTTTTCTTTGTCCGTAACATTTGAGGATCTCCCTCGGAGACATTTCACTGCCCCAAAACACACCGCTCCCCCACACCCCCCCCCGAAAAAAAAAAAAAGAGTTTGCCTTGCTCATCCAAAAAAAATTAAAAACAAACAAAAAAAAAAAAGGAAAAAATATTAAAACCCCTAAAATGATATTAAAAAAACCCCAACACCCCCCCAAATCCCCTGCCCACCCTGCATCAATAAATGTAATTTGATTTTTTTTCAGAAGGTGACGTAATTTGGGTCTCGTTTTGGGGGGGGGGGACGGACAAGCAACCTGGTGAGGGGTCCCCAAAAACCAAGTGGGGGGACCCCAAGGAACCAGGTGAGGGAAACCTCAGAAACCAGGTGAAGGACCCCCAAAACCAGGTGATGGGGACCCCAAGAGCCGGGTGAGGGACCCCAAAAACCAGGTGGGGGGACCCCAGGAAGCAGGTGAAGGGGAACCAGGAAGCACTTGAGGGGACCCAGGGAGCAGGTGACGGACCCCCAAAATCCAGGTGATGGGGCCCCAAGAACCAGGTGAAGGACTCCCCCATAAGCAGGTGAAAGGGACCCCAAAACCAGGTGNAAAAAAAAAAAAAAGAGTTTGCCTTGCTCATCCGAAACCCCGCTCCTGCCAGCTCAGCATCCCCGCCTGCTCCCTGCAGCACCCGTGGGAAGGCTTCGCTTTAACTTTACTTTCTACAAAATGTTATTATTATAAGGCTAATATCAGTTTTCAATGAAAAGAGCGCCACCTTGCAGGGTTTGGCGAGATAGGAAAAGTTGAAACCCGGTGGGACTTGGGCGGAAAGTGTTGGGACTTGAGGAAATTTAACCCACCGTCAAAAGAGCCAGGGGAAAAAATGTTTCATGCGCCGAAAATGTTGCTCCCTGCGAGTCTTTCAGGGTTACTGTCCCGCCGACTTGACCAGGCATCAGTTTTAAAAAGCATAACTTGAATGTAACTAAGAAAAAAGGAAATATCGTAGAGCTATTCTGAGCCATACATCTGTAAAGTAAACCCGGAGAAACGTGGTGAGGATGAGATATTTTAAAGATGCATTTTGCAAGTTTCTTTGAACTTGTGTAAAGTCCCTAGTGGTCGCTTAACACAGATCTGTTACTTGTGTGTATTGGAACACTTGGTTAATGAGTATTCTTTTAAACTTTCGGTCTGAGGTTTGTTCGAGCGTCCTACAGCAGAAAGAATGATTCTAGTGTTGTTGCTGCTGCTGCTGTTGGCTTTTTATCTGTGGTGAAGTGGAACGGTGCGATACTGGTTGATCGCCATCCCGTGTATGTTCTGAATTAGCGACGATCACTAGGGCTGGAATTGTTAATGCTGAATTCAAGTCCACGCCATTCTGGTGCTTGTTCTGTTCGCTTGGGTCTGGAGAGGGGAGCAGTGCTTTGAAATCTCCGGCTGAGAGAGGGGTGTTTTTTCAGGCAGAGAGGTTGTGAGGCGTCTCTCGGCGGTTTCTGTGCTGTTTCAGTCCCTAAAGTCAACTTTCCTCTAGCAAGGCGTCCTTTGCGGATTTATTCACGAAGGCTTGCGGGGAGAAACACCGATCCCAGCTCTCCAGCCTCAACGGGGGCCATAATTTCTTTCTGCTGTCTGACTCTGGAGATGCTGTCGGGATACTTTCCCTGCGTGGGTCATGAGGTTTCGCAGCCCATGGCAGGCCATGCCGGCAGCCCCGCGCTGCCCGGTCCGGGGCAACCAAATCGCTTGGGTCTGTTGTCTGCCTCCCGCAGTCTCCCGCGCCCGCGGAGGCTCCCGTCGCCGCGGAAGAGTGTTTGTACCTACCCAAGGCAGGACTGCAGTACTCTCGGGAGGGTGCAGGAGGTTGCTCGGGTGGGTGTGTGGAGAGCTCTGTGTGCTGGCCCCTCTCGGGTGGCAACCCCCGGCCGTGCTTATACCGTTTGCACGCAGAAAGTTAAACGCAAAACAATAATCGGGTGCTTCTATTTCCCCTGCGAAAGACTCGCCTTTCAGGTCGCTTTAATGGCTTGTGAGTGATCGCTTGAATTTATTACAAGGCGAGTCCGCCATTCATAAGCCAAAGTTAGCTTCTTTAGAGCAGACACTGTTTGAAAGAGAGACACCCGCTCCGCGCTGGCCTCGCCTGGTTATTGCCCTTGTTTCAGCCGCGAGGAAGCAGCAGCTACTGGACTGATGTACCGAACGTCGGCATTTTTATTTGCTGCTTTTCAGGCCACGTTGGTGAACGGCTCAGACTTTGTAAGTTTTCCTATGTCCGGAGCGCCTGCTCCTCTTGCAGCAACTTTTAAAGGGAGCGAGCGGCGAGCGGGGCCAGCGGGCCCGCAGGGAGCCCCGCAGCACGCCCGGGGCCGCAGGAGCCCCGGCGCGGCCGGCGAAGAGCCAGAGCCCCGCTGCAAAGCCCACTTCCAGCAGGTAGGACGGGGAAGGAGATCCCCTCTGGAAAGGGCAGGGTATTTCAAGTGACCTAACGCTAAAAGAACCAGTTTGCATTTTTCCGTTGCAGATCAGATGGAGAGAGGAATTCGTGAGCGATAAGCCCACGAAGGAGGCTGTACAGGTACCAGGCACACTGTACATCACCATTATGAAGTTTACATATGCATTTGCACACAGACGCACCCCGTTCACACGAGCCCGCACACGGGTGTGCCTGCCCGTGCGGGGAACGCGCCCGCCGCCCCGCGCACACGAGCGAGCCGGGCACCTCGAAACGCAGGGCTGGTCCCCGCGGCTCAGTGCGGCGTTTCCGAGGCAAATCAGCACGTTTTCCTCAAAAGGTGGCGATTCCCTGCTGAGCGGGGGTTTGCTGCCGGGAAGAGGCCGGAGAAGGCTGAGAGGCCCGGCCGGGGCCCGGCGCGGCCGCGCAGCCCGGCCTGCGGTGCAGCCCCTCCGCCCCCGTCCCGCACGGCTCCGCGGGCACCGGGGGTCTCGTGGAGGGCACTGGCACTACCTGTGCTGAGGATATAACTCACAGGACACACGGTCACTGCTGCAGATGTGCACGAGCTCCCCGGAATCACCGTTCCCGTTGCTGGTTTTATAACTAATATGTCCGCATCTGTATATATACACCTTTCTCTGTGTCTACATTTGTATATAAAGAAGGAGCAGTGTTTCTAGAGAGACACGTATTCTTGTGTTTACGTAGAAGTATATTTTCGAAGGCTCACAGAAGGCCTCTATTATTTAATGAGAATGTTTCTGTACAATGGATCGTGTTTGTAACAAAATGGGTGTAATTTCCAGAAAGATTAATAATTGAGATTCGTATTTTGAACGAGGGGCAGGACTGATTTCTGGAACTTGCTGAACGGAAGAAGGTGGGTTCCGTTTCACTGCAAAGATGCCGTGTTTTAGGGTGCATTGTTTATTAAAAAGGGCCAAGCTTTTTATTTTGTATCAATTTTTTTTCCTGCTGCGAACATCTATGGGTCAGATTTGGTTCATCTTCGATAACACGAAACACGATCCTGTGAAGTGAAGGGGCTATTTTTATCATGCAGCTGGAAGCTGTCATCAATTCGTAACATTTATTTCGGCTTCAGAACGATAGTATAAAATAGCATGAAGTTTCCAGATGACGCCGGTACTGCAGACAGGATTTTTCAAGTATAATAAATCAAATTAATTACCTTTTAGATATA